AAGTGTCCATTCATACTGGTCGCTGTATCTCCTTGGTGTTGAGATTAATAAAAGAACTATCAATCGACTACTTAACTTTTATGGGATAACTAAACTTCTTTCCATTCATAACCATAGTGGTTATTCTAATCATGAAAGTGTAGAACTATTCCTGTTAATTGTCTCGTGTGAATACTCTGTAGAAGTCTCAGACTGACAAGAAACAACTCTCTAGTGCTCTATGTTTCCCAGTAATTCTTCAGCTGTGATGTTCTGTAGTGAAAAGCCTTTTCAAATAATATTAGTAATATTTATAAAGGTGAGTGTTTTCGCGTTGTTGGTGTTAACGACTCCAATTGATCCGGTTCTATTAACATCAACAACGTGAAAACATAAACTCTTATAAACAAAATTCGTATCTGTTGCACAATCTATCAGCCATCTAAATCCACTAACCAAGCAAATATTGCGTTGATTTTTCGAAACTAAAGGTTTATTGAGTTAGAGTCCCATTACGAACATTAACACTAAGATGCAAGTACCTTTTTCTGGCTAGTCCCAAGCAGGAACAAACATGCTCTCGCACTACATTGTTAGACATTATTCAACTTTAAAATAGTAATAATAGTGATAGCATATTATACATTACGAAAATATTATTAACATTTTGACTTGTGTTTTTTATTTTATTTTGGGAAACAGTTTGAACAACTAAAGGTTAATATTAATCATTTTGAGTCGAAAGTTCAAGTTGATCAGATTGCAGAAGATATTTTCAAATCCTTGCGAAAGGTAATGCTTTTCTGTCTTTTCTATTTAATTATATCTGCTTATTTATTTAATCGAGTTGGGATTCTCATCTCTATCAACTGGTAGTCAGTCAGTCATCTACAATGTAGGACCAGGCACATATTATTGGGGACGATAGATCCGCAAAAACTCATAGTTTGTAATTTTATCTTTGTGGAGCTTGTATGCAGGTGTATGCGTGGGCATTCCTTACCACCCACGCACATAGTCGGTTGATGAACTTATCGAATAAATGTTTAAATATATCAATTGCAATCAATTGACGAACTTATCGATTAAATGTTTAAAAGCTCCAGGGCAATATCCAACCATCCAACCATTGGTTACGATAGTCGCGTGAACCCCAACCAAGTAGTTTGCATCTACCAACATGATTCAGACCAGAAGTTAGTGACTTCAAGGACTGATGCGACGTTTTGGCTTGGCCACCCCTAGTTTTCTTCCAACCGTCTCAAACACTAGTGAGCATTGCGCGTTGTGGTAGTCGGTGATTTGGCATGTGTAATACATAGCCCAACCATCTCAGTCGATGGAGATTCATGACTTCATCAACTGACTTACTACCATTCCCTAATAGTGTGCGTCTAACTCCACTATAACTTACCCGGTGATCCCAGTAGATGCTGGCAATATTTCTAATACATCTGTGATCAACTATTAGTAGTTTACGAGTATCCTTTATTCTTAATGGCCACGTTTCACAGCCGTAAAGTAGAACAGAACGAACTGCTGTTCAGTATACTTGGCCCTTAATTGATGGACGTATATCTCACCCTCTCCATAGGTGACACAAGTTGGCAAAAGCCAAACGAGGTTTTTGAATCCGTGTAGAGATTTCGTCAGACATCAACCAATTAGGGATGATCAGATATTTAAAACGAGTGAAGCTTTCGACACGTTTGACTACTTCACTCCCTATCCTTATTTCAGGTGTTTACGAGGGCCAGTCCTAAAGCAACAGCTTTCATTTGGAGGGGGAGAAACGCTTAGTGCTACCGAAGTACTGCGTCTTATCATCGTCTTCACTAAACAGGACTATATCATCTGTGTATTCTAAGTCGAGTAGTGGACCTCCTGGTAGGAGATCAATGCCCGAACATTCAGTCGACGAGGACATTATTTACAGCAGTATGTCTTTAATGAAGTTGAACAGAAATGGAGATAGTGGACAGCCTTGTCGGACACCACTTGTGGTTGCAAAACCAGACGACTGTTCCTCATAAGCTCTGGCTCGACTAGTAGTGTTCGAGTAAAGAGCCCTCACAAGGTTTATGTATTTCTCAGGTACGCCTTTCGAAGACAAACACTGTCACCAACTAGTTATTTTTTTAAAAAGATATTGTTGTTATTCGTTATATGTGTTGATAAAGAGTTAATCTATTAAGTTTAATTTAGATCTTAGGTTAATTTGTAGATGAATTTTTTCACAAAATGATTTCCTTTGTGATAGAATGATAGCAAGCACACGAACCATTAATCATTATTCCAAAAATCCTATACTTGAATGAAACAGCTATGCCCTTCAGTTTTTAATGATACTCAATGTAATAACCTTTTGTGCAAATACTTGAATATTATCAGTGTTAGCAATGCAACATTGTTTTTCATTTGGAAGCAACTCATTTCCAACTCATCAACTAGATGTAGCACCATTCCTATAAGTAATGTTACCTATGAAATAAACCCAATACATTACTTTATTTAAAATCAGAAATATAAACTAAGTTTCATGAGGTGGGGTTCGAACATGTAGCCTGTTACCTGAAAGTCACAGTTTAAATAAAATCTTGTTCGAAGTTTTGAAAAATGGCAGATAACTATATAGATGAAGTAAACTAGATAGACGTAAGTCAGAATTCCATAAGTAACTTATTTGGTTATTCGTATGAAGTATTTTATTGCCTTTCTACTTCTAATGATATAATGTGGGGAAAAAACACTGTAACTGAATAATTTTGAACTGTCAGAATAAGTCAACTGGCGAATTGATTTCTCGAAAAAGCTTAGTTCAACTTGTATCGAAACTATATCAGTCTGTTAGGTTTATTTTTTCTTTTAGCAGAAATGTGCTAAAAGCCTAGTCCATAAAAAGAAAACATAGTTATACAACTGATAAGACATTTTTGCATTACCTAAGGAGCTGTTTTTTTCTGTTTACAGAATGCAAAACTTTAGTCATTGTCATTCACTTCGACCTGATTTTGTCTTTATATTTCTTATTTTACTTCATATAGAGCATTGATTCAATAAATCTAACTAAACATACCGTCCACTCACCCCAATTGGATCGAATTTCTCCAAGTAGTTGTTTTAATGTTGAAAATAATAATTATATAAATAATGATGGCGATGATGATGTTGTCATAACTAAATGCCTACGTGATATGTCATCAGTAGTGAATCGTTTAAAATCTGTTTGGCCACCAAAAGGTCCTAACAAATCAGTACAGTTCAACGAAGCAAGGAATATTTTAAACAATTTATCTAATTTCGTATATACCAGTTGATTGACTAAGTGACTGGCTATTTTTTACCCACATATATTTGTATTATTTCATTGTACAAAACCAATATCAAATAAATAAAACCTTTTAAATTCAATTATGCTTGTATTTCTTTGTTTTTCACTGTACAAATCTAATGAGAATATCTAATTTGTTGAGAAGGGATTTAATTGAAAATTTAAGTAGTTCGTTAAATGTCGATCATTTGTTGATTACGTGCTTGTGTACTCAAAGTTTGGGCCACAATTTATTGTACGTATATGTGTGCAAGCGTTATTGACATTATCCGATTGGTTGAACCGAGTTAGATAAAACATAGTTCAAACCTTCATTTCATTTGTTGAACATTGAGTACTTGGGACACTAACTCATCGCTGCTCACGAAAGTTATGTATATATAAACTGTCATTATTCCTCTTAACACAAATAACTTACTTTAATATATTTTCTCAACTGTCTAAGATTAATGATCGTCAATGTAATCTACAGTGTAACTATATAAGTATGGTTATAGTTCATTTTTATGTCATTAAGTTGCTTGTTCAGACATCGTTTCGAATACAAATTGCAGAAAACTTAGGTTTTCAGTAGATCATTTGTAGATAATTTCTTTGACTTGTTATTGGTGAGGCGGACCAGAATCTATAAGGATACAACAGTTTGCTTCAGGCTAGAGATACTATATGCTGATGGATATTCAAGGTGTTAAACCCGAAATCCTGACTTCCAACCGTTATCTTGACTTGGCAAACTTACAAGAACCTGGTTTAACAATCTCAAGTCTGAGAAAAGATTAGTACTCAAAACGTTTAGAAAAACTTTTTTTATAAACAAATACAAGTAAGCGTTCTTTCTGACAATTATTGCTTAAAACAAACAAAAACTGGTCGATTTGTCTTTCCGATCAGAAGAAGCAATCTATCATTTATTTATTGAACCAAACTTTAATTATTCTGTATGTTTTGTAGTAAATGTATAAATTCTTGGGATCAAATCAAGATTCCGGAAGTCAGATTTTCTTTTATATAACAAAGATTACATTTCAATCTTAAACTAACTATAAGACAATATCATAAAACTTTTAATTGATCACTTCAAATTCATAATTTCTCTATTGAATTTTACTTGAGTAAATGTCTTTGTCTAAATCACTAAAACTCTTATCATTCATCTGTTATTTCTATTTAAATAATTATTGTTAAACATTTTCAGGATACCTTAAAATTAGGCTAATTGACAACTTAGAAGATTTTTATATTTTGTTGAATGTATAAATTCATATCATAGTGAAATTCAACTTGGAAGGATCTTGTACAATTGTTTGAATGATAATTCTCTGTTATAACATTTGATTATATTCCATACTATCATTAGTAAATGATGTTAGATTATATGTGATATTTTCCCTCTTTGAATGAACCTATTCATTCACAAATCAGAAATAATTCATAATTGTTTTATTATATTTGACGAAGTGATTAGATTGCATTCGTTAACTAATAGATACTATTCAAAATTAGGAATATGATTTATCCTAAGGTAATTCGTTCAACTTTCAGAGAACATCCTCCCTACAATCTATGTAATATAAGTATCAGTGATCAGCAGATTAATAAATATAATTGATTATTATATCTTTCCCTGATCGTTTCTAACTGGCTCAACTTACAGAGTTCCATCTAACCAATCTTTGTTTATTTTTCCGTAGTTGGTCGGTGTTTACATACAAAACCTAGAAGAATATACTATTTACTAAAATATATCTTTGCTAATTATTAGCAGGTAAGTAATATAATATCATAAAATGATATTTCCCCTTATTTTCTGAAAAATCTATTTAGATATTATTCTTTGCATGCAATGCGTGCTGTGGTGCAACGAGTTAAACAAGCATCTGTTAGTGGTATGTTGTTAATTTCTTTTATGAGTAAAGATTTCGTATTATGTGCGATGTGATAATTTATCTTCTTTAGATTATCGTATTTTATTATTGTCTAAATTATATATTATTATTGTATGTTTAATTGATAATTTGCTTTGATATTCTGTAGAGATTTTATATATTTTGAAGTTAGTTTACGTTATGAATAGAAATCGTACTGAGTAGCACAGACATCCAAATCTGTAAAGAAAAAGGTATCCGATACTATTTTATTTTCAATAATTTTCAGTCAACGCTAATTCGCAACGAAAGCTTTTACAAGGTCATCCAAATCTACACAAAACATTGAAGCAATTAATAATCCCCACCTTGTGGTCACTTGTTTACGGTTCTGAGATTGGTTTCTATCGAAGTCAACTGAATCAGAATTGACACTGATTCACTAATAAAACTGGGCGATTGGATGATCGTACAATGTCACAAATAGTGTGAGGTCAGAAATGTAAACCATTGGATGCTGGCTCATTGGTACAAAAGTTACACCCTAGGTGAGACCTGAAGGTCCTGGATTCGATTCCTTGTGGAATCGTGAGGAATCACTTACGTGGATGAAACAACTGTCCGGTACCCACTGGTTCTTAACGGTTGTCTAACTAACGCGATATTAATTATAAACTTGGAAAATCTCCACAAACCTCTTACTCTAATAAAGCAAAAGTTAATAAGTTAGAAATACAAAATCAGTGCATTCTATCCAGTTGTATTTCTGACTAAATAGAAAGTTAGTAATTCTTCAATTTCTTTATAATTTAGTAAATGATTCAATTATCAGTCAAATCGGTCGTGGAGTACTTGTTCTTATTGGCTTATCACGACGAGATACAGAAAATGATATGGAGTATATGTATGATAACATTTATTTTGTGTATTCATTTTATTCTATGTATCCTCATCACTTTGTTGTTAATTGAATAAGACGTTTGAAACGTTTTGAGTAAATTGTGTCACTATGTTGCTGACAATAAGTCAACTCACAAACGAGTCTAAAAAATTTTAACAGTCAACCTACTGTTTTTTTCGTTCATTGAGTCAAAATATTCACTTATATGACTTAAAGTTAATCACTGGATAAATGCATTTTCATGACAGATTTATTCACCTTAGATTTTCTACAACATATCTACACAGTTTGCCAATCAATCAATCGACCGCTTGTATTCATTCAGATAACTTAAAACACAGATTTCACTGGGGAAATGTCAAAGTTATGTTTCCAAAGAACTCTAAACCTTTCAGAAGATTTCTAGAAGTATGACATACTGGCGAATCTCCAATCAGTTGATATGTTATAGATTTGGCTTATCAATTCATACGGTAAAGATCAACCATTCAAGTGTATCAACTGAACAAAACTTTCCGAATGTACTAGGTTATGAGAAGATAAACGACTTTACATAAATAATCGGTCACAGAAAAATAAGTCAGAACAGACTGAGTGGTGCTTGTGGAATAATTTGAAGGAGGCATTAATGACTGTCCAAAACGACATTGAAAGCTTTGGAATTCAACTATTTAATTCAGAGTACGCATTACCATGAAAAGTGTTTATTTAAGATATGCATATTCATCATTTAAATAAAATCACACAAACTATCTACAAATAGCACTAAAATAGTCAACGTGGAAAGCGGGATAATTGTTTATCTACACAAGTTTTCATGCTTCTCCAAATAAATACATAGATACACGGACATCTGTTACATTGATAACATATTGTAGTGAATTTAAATTTCAACCATTAGGTGTAAAATAATTAAATCCCCAAGAAATACGAATTCGTCCTCTCTCCTGCGCTCTTAACAAACCAAAAACGTAACGACATCAAAACATCTGACGTACTGAGAAAGTTTATCTTATCTTTGTTTATCTATTTCTCTATATATAATCGATTTTTTAACGTTTATTAAACTGATAGGTATCTTTATATTACTTGTGAGGGTTTGAGTCTGTCCGTTCTTGACGTTAAAAACTGCAATTGGTCAGTCTCTGTCTCCAACTTTATTTAAAAACTCAAAATGTTTCGTGTTTCAGGCTAATTTTTATGAATTTAATTCCACCCGTGGTTTTATAACAAAATAGTTCATTATCTTTTTGCCTTGCCAATAACATTTAGTACGTTTTTTTAGGGAGTAGAATAAAATTCCTTTCTGGCTTTCAATATTTACAGGGTTAGAAAAATACTGAACATTCGTTTATTTCCATCTCAAGATGGCATAAAACGTTGGGATAAAAGTGTAAAAGATTTAAATCTGGAAATTCTTTGTGTTAGTCAGGTAAGGAATTTTGTTTTTCTAACTAATTCTCATATCATTTTCACATATTGATGCTCAGGTATTCAGCATAAGTATTTAATAATTGTTTCAGTATACACTGATTTTTGAAATCCCTTACAGTTTCTTAGTTCAAATGATTGTGTTAGTGTGTTTTTAGCACTAATGTCCACAATGAAGTCTCTACAGAGGACTAAAATTTTTATTATTCAATGTTTCATGTTTGATTTCATCAACTTTTCTTTTTGTTTAAATCGTAGTGAGAGAAAATTAAACCTAGTATTCAGGTCTTAACTTCATTGACATTTGAGTTATCTTCAAATTCCCTGTCTTCCATTCTCTTATGTCTCAATTAATTTTTAACTGCGCCTATTTTTGAAGCTAGTATCGTGTATATATGGATATTATCATAGTAGAAAACCATCTTATATCTGTTCATTTTAATTTCGTAAGCTGCTACTTCTCTGCTACATCGTACTGTTGCACGTCAAATGAGTGGCATTATATTCGTTCATCTAACAATTCAAAACCTATTCATCATCATATCATAAAATTTTAATCTATAACAAACATTTCTCGAGACTTATTTACTTTACAGGACTGGATCCACGTTCATGGTCATTTCCTAATACTTCAGTCCGTATACTCAACCTACTTAAAAGGTTGATTAAGTAGTGTAAGCTTTTACACTGAATTTCTGGTTCTAATACAATGGAATGTCAATATATATATATATATATATATATATATATATATATATATATATATATATATATGAAATTTTTGGACTGATTATTGGAAATCGCTTGCCTGATTTATCTTGGTACTGTTATGCTAAAGATGGTGTTTATATGATAGTAGGCACAAAAATTGGCACATGACTAGATAATTAGACAGATGTAGGTATCATTACTAAGGTTTGACTTGATAATTTCGAATAAATTGAGCATCGGGTAGATTGTTATAAATAAATAATGTATTTGTAATATCCCAATGAGTAGAAGAATTAGATTATCTGACGTTTTGTGACTTAGTGTAAGCCACCTCTTCAGAGAATAAATAACCAAATCAAAATTAATCCAAGACAGATGTTTTGATACGATATCATCTTGCCAGAGTGAAATTTGTGAAGTAATATCGATTGCAGTTAATATGATTGAAGGCATTTTTCTGTAGTTGATTGTTCAACTATATTTTTCATACATTCAGCTTTTACTAACTTTATTGTTAAGACCGACCTGGAAACCAGTGACTGAAATTTTACTTTTGACTGCCTCCAACCACTGAACGACTCAACATTATATAAACGTTATATCAAGTCACTTAGGCTAATTGTCACAATGTAACTTGATCCTTAGGACTGGATAAACATAACGTTGACCACTATTTTGTAACCAACCTATCTTAAATATCTTGATCATTTAGGCGGTTAGTTGCAGCCCGAACAACTCAGTGGTAACATCTCGAGCTGTGAGGTTGGATGATACAGGTTCGAATTTCCCTTCCATTAAAATTTCATGTACGTTTCACTGAAATATGCTAAATAGTGCAAAATCTACGTCTAGAGTATCCTGCCAACCATCTTCAGTCACCAAAGATCACTGATAAGTGATTTATTTGTTTAAAAAATCATAATATTTGAGCATTTGAAAATCCGATTCATATCTTTTTATATTCGATAGAAATAGTGTTATCTAATTTTTTTAAAGTACTAGTCTATTATACAGACATATCGTTGGTGGAAAATTGGTTCTGTTTTAATGCTCATATAATTTGATACTTTTATTATTTATTTTCAATGTTTGTTTTTCACTATTTTCTATTCTGTTATAACTTATACCCTGTGTCCTATTAATGTATAATGTAATGATACCGCCAATTACAGAACAGTGAATTATCGACCGGAACAATGATGCATAAAACCCGTACGAGCAGTCTAGAGTCCTAATTGATCCTGCTTTCCGCCTAGCGCAGCCTGTTAAGTTGAGAACGCCAGTCTCAGCCTCTGCAATATGAGTCATTATATTTCAAACATACTCTATTTATATACCAATCAAACAGACCACATCGTACCATAAAATAGGGAACAACATTTGTACAAGAATTAGCCAAATGTGGTTGTGAATAAGGGAGATAGTAATTGATAGACAGGGAATAATTCAAGAATGGTAGATCGTATAATAACAGTTCATAGGTCAAAATAAAGCTCATATTAAGAGGAACACGAATATGAATAGTTTAGTTATTTAACAATTATACGATAAAAGTATACGTATAGTATTTGTGCATAAATAGATCCCAACAGTTACCATTCATTATTCTCATCAGGATATAACATATTCACTTACACCTATTAATAAATTAAATTTTAAAAATAACGCTCTCAAGAGTATAGCTCTTATAGTAATTTTTTATGTCTTTGGTGTGTACATCGGATTGTTTTAAAGTATTGTACCCGTTGTTAAATGTGGATTTATTAGTTTCATTTTTGAAATTAATCCCTGTTATTTTGATTGTTACTTGTTTTACAAGATTACATTTTCTAACCGAATCCCATGTATCTATACAGTGATTATTTGTTTTAAATTTAAATTATGAAACGATCGTTGTCAAACGACTATTGAAAACGTATAAACACTAGACGGTCGTTTCGTCCTAGTGTAGGAGTCCTCAGCAGTGCAAATCCATGACGGCGCACGTGAGACTCAGACACATGACCTTTGGTCATGACCTTCGCGAACGCTTAATCCCTAAACAAGGGAATCGGTATCCAACGTTGTTAATGTCTAAATTCAATCAATTCACAATATTGCCCGACTATCTTCCATTGTTCTCGAGGCGTAAAACTACCTCACACTCGACACAGTTGAACTCCACTGATCACGTCTTCTCACTAGAACTCCGAGAATAACCTCTCGAAACTAGTCAATAGTGAGCAAATGATAATAGTTACTTTCAAGTAAATACTTGATATTTATAATCCTCCTTATCTTACATAGATCTGTGAAACTATTTTTAGTATCATTATCTTGCATATATTAGATAATACTTATTGTTTAATTACGAATGCATATGTATTGGATCGCTTTTTTTGTATTACTGCTACATTCATTTTACTGACTGTTCTTCTACTTCTTTTTTTCTATGGAATAAGGTTTAATGGTTTTATAGAAAGATTTTTGATTATTTAAATGAAAGGAAACAATATTGATGATATTCTATTCGTACAAAGTGATAACTAAATGATGATGGTAATTTGAAATCAATGACGAGACCGCTAACCAGAAAAATAGGTTTTGCTTATTGTATAACAATAGAAAAAAATAAATATGATTACATATTATAAACAACTAATCATTATTGACTATTTAGCTTATTCCATTTCCAATCGATTAGATCTTAACTATTAGAGCTTCATAAATACTATCACTAACAGTCAATTTATATTGTCAAAATGTTCTCAAATTATACTCATTATCTTTTTGTCTCTTAAATAATAGAACTACTATTGAAATTTTAGCATATGTTATATATGAAATATCTAAATTTGTTTCGTTTTTCTTTTCTTGCTATTTATACATATTACTTAAATATACGTTCCATTTGTACAAATATTTACATTTCTTAAAAGCAATTTTTTATTAGAAAGAAAAAGGAATAATTTTTCATCTTTGTTTTATTTCAGTTCACATTATATAGTGAATTAAAAGGTAATAAATTAGATTTTCATTATGCTATGGATCCGAAATTATCGAAAGATATTTATTCACAGTTAATTAATCAATTAAAGAAGAATTATAATGAAGATAAAGTTAAAGGTAATTAAAAGAGCTAAAATAAAATTTCCTTTCTATTTGTATTATTCATTTCTAGTAAATATGTATAAGTTAAACCATAGATTAACTATAAGTAAAGATGGATAGTGGCTAACAGTGGAATCTAGGATGAGCGTTTCATCCTGTTTGGGATTCGTCTATTGAATGTACCTGCATCTCAGAGTTGATGTTCAATCTGGGACTCGAACCCAGTACCATTCGCTATAAATGCCATTGCGTTATCCACTCAGTTACAGACTGATCAATTGCAGTGTTAAACATCAATTGGAAGATTTAAGTAAAACAATACCAAGTGACTAGATTAACTATAATTAGAAAATCATTAAAAATTAAGGATCAATGAAAAGTTATTTTATCTTAAAATCGGACTCTTCAGTGCAGTGCAATGCAATGCAGATTCCTGTTGGCAATAGGACTGAAAACTGTCAGGTGGTAACCTTGAGACCTTTGAGCCGTCATTCATTGGTTTACTAATTTCGGTTGATTGATGATTGTATATATTGGAAAACAACAATTAGCAAATACTAAAATAACCTTTTGAGGACTTTATATAATGCCAAAGGTAATAACCCATCTTGAAATGACATCACATTGATAATTACTCTACTTAAACTGACGTTTGAGCCCTTCCTTTTTATATACTCAGACAACTTTCATCCGTTAACTCGAATAATAGAGAAAAGATGTGGAATATAAGTAAAAGTCTTACTCTAGGGTTGACCTATGTACATAAAATCAAGCTTATTTAAAGGGTTTTTAGGTGGCCTTAATCGTCCACAAGCTTCTGGAAATATACTAAATATTGTAACAACTTCAACTCAGACTGAATTACACTCATGGCTTTCACATTTTACAGTCATCACAGTAACTTTAGATCGTTTATTTCTAATGATACTAGCTATGATGAGGATGACTGAAAATTTAAAATATCCTTCAATTACAAGGTGATGTCAACCAGGGACTTCCAGATTAAGGTTTAAATGTCATACTAACTGATATAACGAATCCAACTAGTACTATATACTGTATTTCGGAAAGTGTCCACAATAACATTTTGTCATGATTATGGGATAATTATAAAAAAAAACAACCCTTCGATCCAAATATATTTCTCCCAGATTGTTCACAAAACTTATCTTACTGTGAACTCTTATTACCTTCAGATAGGCTACTAGTATCTCTGATATCTAGTACATTTTAGTCTGGATTTGCATTTGTTAATTATTCCCGAAATGTAATGTATTTATTAACACCACACTTTGTTTCACTAGAAACAAAAAAAAACATTATTTTATTTCTTGACATTCTCTAATTATATTCTTTTTTCTTAAAGATGGAATTTTCGGCGCGATGATGGATGTCAGTCTTATTAACGACGGACCTGTTACTATTACACTTGATTCAAATCCAGATATTAGTCGAAGTCTTACAATAAATTCACAAGATGATCTAAAAACTTCGAATACATAATAACTTAATGCTGTAAAGTTATATTGATTGTTTAAATTTATAACATTTTGTGAAAAGAAACATGAGCGCTTTTCGTAACAGTTTTCCTTTTTTGTGACTTCTTCCTGACTAAAAGTTAGGTTTTAAGTTTTTAATAAACGCATCATTTATGAAGGCTTAGAGATTGTGTATTAGAGGAACAAAGCTTTTTTCTTTGTCTTTTCAAGTTAATAAGAGTTATGTTTACAGAATTAGTTAGCGTCAATATCTTACTCATATATATTAGATAGTCGATGATTCTGAAGTAATTGTATGATATTTGAAGTATTCATTGAATGTAAATAAACAGGTTATATTCTGGAAATAACCACAGAATACGTTCCGATTTAATGACATGAAATGAAATGTAGCACGTACTAAACTGTATCGAACAAATGCTTCGTCCCAATTTAGGAGTATTAATCATCTGTACCCAACTACAACCTAACGTGCTACTAAATCCAGAAATTTAAGCTACTGAATTTCAAGTTATTAATCAAAAAGCAGCCAGATGATCGCATGACTTAAATGTTCGAAGTTTGATTCTTCTTGGAATCATGAAATAGCGATATTGTGAAGTTTCAAAGTAAGAAGAGATAGAGACTTGAATTTGTAGTCTTGTGGTCAGAACTCGAGTGTGTAACCATGATCAGTGGTTAGGTATGTTAGTTGACATAGTTAAAAATTGTAGTTGTATTCATTCTTTGTCCTCTCTCCAAGATTGAATTCCAGTATATCTTCACACATAGTGTTTCGCTCTGTCTTTTCAAATTATATTTCTCATTGTCACTGCCACTACAATTGTCTTGACATTTTTTTATTCATCTTATTAGTTTCGTTGTATTTAGGTGATTTGGCAACTTGGGTTAAAATACATTTGTTCTGGTTTCTATTTTGATTATGATTGACTGAACCACTATAGCACCTCTTGATACATAATAATAATAATATTTCAACTAATTCTGACTATCAACCAAACTTCTTAAATAGTATAGAATAAACAATAAGATAATTGACAGACAGAGAAAATGACTGAATAAACAAGTATGTTTATTTGTAAATCTATAAAATGTTAAGGTTAGTAAAAATTATCTTTCCGCAGGATAATTTTCAAGGTAACTAAGTTATTATTTACATAATTAACATAAATTTAATGTTATCAGAATGGGTTTTGTGGAGATTTTTAGAAATTTCACAAGTTGAAATCATGAGCCAACTGAAGCTAGACCACCATGGAAAACCTGGAAGCACTGGACGGTGGGGGGCGGGTTCGTGGATGCGCACTGCTGAGGAGTCCCATACTAGGACGAAACGGCCGTCCAGTGCTTCCAGTTTTTCCATGGTGGTCTAGCTTCAATTGGCTCATGATTTCAACTTGTGAAATAAATTTAATGATTGACAAGTATGTAAATTATTCAGTTGTGATATGTCTATTGTTAGATTACTTAAAGAAAATTACTATTTCATGAAAATATCATGTGTTAGTCAATATTAGTAACTGTTACATAAATTGAAAAGTAAGATACACATTCATTTTGATCATAAAACAGTTCTGTTGAAAAATCTATCAAGAAGGAGATTTAATATTAAATTTCGATTGACATGGAGACATTGAGTGACATTTTCTTTTTCATTGAGTTACTGACACTTTGACAATGAAATACTGTAGTGAAGGAGAACACAGGTGAGGACAACCGAGTTATGTCTATTACAGAATTACTTGGTAAAATAGAAAAACCATACTATAATACTTAATTTGCAAAATGTTCAATAATTGTCTCAAACTTCATTGTTCTTGCATTTCCATACTAATTGCTTTCTATTCCCTCTCTTCCTTTCTTGATCTTCCCCATCTTCTGCTGTCAGACGTTACATCTCTGAATCGTGTCATATACTACTTATATCAATATAAGTAGCACGCACCACAATACAATTGCATTAATATATTGGTTATGACTAATATTTTTTCAATCCACCATAGGCATTTTTTTATGTACGTTGTAAAACCTACACTAACAACGTTGAGACAATGTTGGACAGATAAATTAAGTATTAACGAGTATTTGACGATTCCAGACAACTGATGTTACAGGACATTGATACTTTATATTCTCTTAAAGAATTCTGATAGTCTATGACTCGATGCAGAATACGTATCAACTTTAAATAAATTGATGATGAAATTAACAGACCATGAAAATTACTATCTGCTTTTTAAACAGAACGTGTATTGAATCTGGATGGAACAAACGGATTTACGATGAAAATTGAAATTAGATAGTACAAGGTTTTCACGAAACTATCGGTAAATATTAAGTGAAGACCCACTAGATTCTAATATATGGATAGTTTTTTAAAGTTTCAGTGTGATCGCATGACACGAAGTTAGTTAGTTTAACAGTAAAACAGGAACTCACTACACCAGTTTGATGATAATCATAGTGTATAACGAAATGAATAAAGTTCCGATTCAATAAATTCATGTTCATCGAGAAACCTAAAAATTTTGCTTTCTGGACACAGGCAGGAACAGATAATTAGTGTTCCTAAATAAAGATAAAACTACTATTTTATTCATCTTAGTTAACAATAACCCTTCAGTCGTTGTCTCTTCGTGTTTAGGATTACTTTCAAAACAAGAATGAGACAATAAATAACTGAAATAAAATAAATTAACCAAATAAAATTTGTGCAATCTAAATTTGATTTATACAAACCCTCAATACTATAATTATGTGATCAGTAGTGATTAATATCCATAGCCTATTTCTGGAGTTCAACTATCTCGAGGGTATGGTAATTATCCATCGATAGGGTTGAATACTGACGGTATAATATCGCGAATTGACTGAAATTTAATGTGTGAACCATTAGATATCAACTCAGTAAACCGAAAGTTAAGGGTTCGCCACGAGGTTCGAAGGTCCTAGGTCTAGCTCACGTTACGTCCGTGGATGCTCACAGATGGGAAGTCCCATATTAGGACGAAACTAATGTCCACTGCTTCCTGATTTTCCGTCGTTGTGTACTAAAATCAGTCCAGGATACAATTGACAGAATTCATCATTTTCTCTAAGAGCTTCAACTAATATATTATTTCTTCAAATCATTATTGGATTGACTTATTTGACTTCATAATTTGTCAAAGACAAGGGATATTGGAAGACGTTTCTGTGATGTATAAGTGAAAGTTTGCTTTATATCATATCAATTAATAATTACATGTACAATTACTCGTAAGTTTACTTTATTTGGGATTCGTAAAGAGGGGTAGTACAAAAAGTGATCAAGAATGGAGAACCAAGTACCACCAACCATCGAAATCGATCTCAATTGATCAGATCTGGATGCAAAGTTTACATAGTAAATTGTACCAGTACTACATTCAATTTTATACCAACTTTTAAATCCATCGCATGTAAAATTATATTAATAATGTTTTACTTATTGTAATTAGAGGTTATCATATCTCATATCCTCCATGATATTGTGAAAATCACATGTTCTTTTGAATAGAATACCGTTTAACTCTTCTGATAATACCCTAAAGTAATCACTTCGTTAAATTATGTCGTCTTTTATATTATATCTCTATTCAGAATGAATTATCCCGAAAATGTTTCATTATCTCAAATAAATACTTTATATCAGATGGGTTTTGTGGATATTATAGTAATTTCAATGGTTAAGATCATGAGTCAGTTGAAGCTAGACCACCATGGGAAACTTGGAAGCATGAAGTGGCCGTCCAGTGCATCCAGGTTTTAAATGGTGGTCTAGCTTCAACTGACTCATGATCTTAACCATTGAAAATACTTTATAGTTTGTCCTCTTTAGATTGATCTATAACCATTTACGTTATCTGTGTTTGTCATCTACACACAATTCATCCAATTGTAAAAGCACAACTTTTTATAAATAAGCCAATAGGAAACAATACAAAACACAGATTGGTCAATCTGTTTATTTCCCTTAAAGGAAATATTCACTAAATCTATGTATATTAGTTAAATGTATGTATCTATTTATAAAATATTGAATATGAAACGTTTGTTTCAATGTAGTTGCAGGTCACTATTGAAAATTGATTTTTTTTTCTCCTCCCATATAAATAGTAAAGAAAAACTATTTTGATTAAATTTGAAAAATCAGTTCTGTAAAGTACCATTTAAACAAATTGTATTTCTTGCATTTATATTTACATTTTAAAGAGAAAATAATAAACAGCAAAATGAATTTATATTTTAGTTCAGTTGCTAGTCAACAACCAGGACATTCATCATTATCTAAAATGAATACAAATACAAAACATACTAATAATCAAATGAATAATCCAACACATTCATGTAAACAACATGTAACATTGTCAAATGCTTTAGATTTATTTACTGGAAATAATATAACAAGTGGAATTGGAGGAGGAATTGGTAATAGAAATAGTTTTAGTGTTCCTGGAAATAATCATATAAGAAAATTAGAAGAGACAACACCAGTTAATATTGTATTAAGACGTGCATCTAATGATTCACCATGGGGTTTTCGTGTTCAAGGTGGTAGTGATTATCACTTACAACTTACAATATGTAAAGTAAGTATTATAAAATGAAAAGTGTTACTGTACACCATATAAACAGTTTTTCAAATACACTGTTAATTTAAACTGTAAACTATCTATATCAGGTTGGATTCTGAGAAAATAAAACATTGTATTTTAATTACCTCATAATGACTTGAGGCGAGAAGTTTATTTTTTAGTTTATGTTTTGTACTCGGTTATCGTTAATAATTTTGAAAGATATTTACAATGTTTAGCTTAATAATCATATGGTAAACAGCCTCCGAGTGCCCTGGTACAGCCGAGAGTGGGGAAAGTTCGCTCTCCCTCTCGAAATGCTCTCACATGGCCACGCGTATATAGCCTCCACCAGGGAAGTCCTATTCACTGCCTTCTAGCTACAGGGGTGTTGTTTATGAAATTGAGAGGACGAAAAGCGAATGTACGGCACTTTAACCGGGTTGGTGGACACGGAGAGTCCACTTAGGGGAGTTGCAAAACCCTGATTACAAACCAATGGTGCACATAAGCTCTAGTACCCTGAGGGAACAAATGTCGTATGAATCA